TACCAATAGTAGCATGTTTCATCCATACATATACATTGTTTCATCAATATTACACAGTTTCATCCATAGGTAGCAAGTTTCACAAAGTAAAAACAAAAACTAAAGACAAGCACTCCATATCTGAAAATACAAGAAATGACCTAAAACTAAATATTTATTTTCCTAAAAACTATCTTATTACTAAGATCTTCTCCGGATCTTCTTCTTTTCTTCCAACCTGCATAACAAAAACACTAAGAAAGAGAGAATGGGTTAGGAGTAGAAATGTAGCATTTCACTTGGTGAAATGCAATGCTGTAGGAGCCAGCACTTGAGATCAAGACAATCTTAAATTAGTGTAAAGTTATGACTTTTTAATTCAGCATTTGTCTGCACAGCGTATCCACAGACAAAAATAGTGTAGGGCTTTTAGAGCAGAATTGTATCAGAAACAGTTAGCATACCATCACACTGATAAGAACCACCAGCATGGCTGGTTTTTACCACTGAGTATTTGAGACAAATTGAAGATTCCGTGTATATGCAATATAGAGACCCCTAAGACAAGTATTTACACAGGACCAAACTGAGAAAATAGACACAACAATGTGGAAAATGGAAAAATCAGCTAAGGAGTTACAAAGATAAACCAAGCTATATATTTTTTAGATTGTTCAAGATGTATTAGTGAGTAAAATATACTGCATTTAAATTGCGAGCACACAGGTGGAATGTGAAACCATATGTGTAGTTCATTAAATAAACCCCTCCTTTCATATCAAGCATGTACAAACATAAAATTCGCCTAACCAAAAAAGATCCAATGGCCAACTTTAGTTTTAAGCATTAATCTGGGTAAATGCATAATTAGAAAATCCAAGCAGAATTTCAAGTAAAAGAAAATTATGACAGCCTCAACAAGTACTGAACGAAAAGAAGATCTCACAACTACCCATGGATCTCATACTTATTTCCACTAGGATAAAGAAAACATACGTTGCATTTCCACCAGCAGGAACTACAGCTACTGTCAGTGACCGCATTGCAGTTCCAGCATTACCCAAGAAGAGCTTTACTTCCTCTTTGGTGTCCTTTTCAACTGGGAACCTGCCGCCGCAGCCAACAACCACAGCTCCTTTTGCAACTTTATTTGCTTCCACGGAGAGTCCAAGGGCTTCCAGGGCCTCGAGCATGTAGTGGACATCCTCGCTGTTCAACAGGTTATCCACCACCGTTGTTCCCTAATAAGTAGAAACAAGCTAGGGATCAGCTAGTGATGACAGTGAAGTAAACCAGCTAGAATTTCTCATGTTACTATAAATAAATAAGATAACAGGACATGCTGCACTATAATTTTCTGATCAGTTGAAACCTAGTAAAGCCTAGAGAATCCTAGAATTTCTCATCTTACTATAAATAAATAAGATGACAGGACATGCTGAACTATAGTTTACTGATGAGTTGAAACCGAGTAAAGCCTGGAGGATCCTAGAATTAGTACCTAGATAGCTCATGAAAACAAATGCCCCTGCTACGAATAGCAATTCAATGATTTGTCATCTAAAATATTATCGTCTTTTCGTGGTCACGCCGTCTTAGAAAATGTGTGTAGACTTTAGGTTGCATGATAATTTTGAGCAGACATATATGAATTCCAAGTGTTCATGACAGCATTACAACATAATATATTCATAAAGGGTCCATCAGAACAGAAAAATTAGTAGCCTATAAAACCTAGCAGGATCGCCCCTGATTATTATGATGCATCCTCTTGATCCAAATACAAGCTGCACAATACAATGATCTGATAAAGAAAAGTGTGAACTAGCTACCAAACAACCTACCTACCCACTGTCAGCAAAATCTCACGGTTGGATCGGCTCAAGTCAAAATTATCATGATCCAGTAGACAGTCAGTCAGCACGACAAAGGTACGTATGCTCCTAATAAACCCTACAAAATCCTACCTCGACACCCAAATTCGCTTCATTTGACCACTCAAAGGAAGAGCAGGGGGAGGAGGAGGGGGAGTCACCTCGGAGAGGGCGGAGAGGACGAGGATCCGGTTGGAGAGCGACTTGGACCCTGGCAGCTGCACGGCGCCAGAGATCTCGCGGATGGGCTGCAGCACGACCCTGGTGGCTGATGGGCTTGGTTGGCGCTGCTCCGGCGAGGGGCGTCACTCCGGCAAGGAGGAGGCCCGTGCGGTGAGGAGGAGGCTGGATCTAGAGTGGCCGGACCACCCTCGGCCGGATCCGGGCGCGAGGCAGCGTGGGGCGGCAGCCGCGACGCGGGCGGGGCGCAGAGGAGCTCGGTGCTCGACGAGGCTTCCATGGCGGGGCGGCGAGCTTGTGGGGAGGTGGCGGCGCGCGACGCGGCGCAGGCGGCAGCACAAGGCGGCGAGGCTCCTTGGGTCTGGTGAGGTGGCGGCACGCACCGGCGGGCGGAGGCGAGGTGGCGCAGCGGCGCGGGGTCGAGGGAGGTCGCCATAGCTGCTCGTGCAAGGGAGAGGGAGAGACGAGTGGGAGAGAGAGGGAGAGGGGTGGGGAGGAGAGAGAGGGGATAGAGATAGAGGAGGTGGGGGCAACGGTTTTTTTTTACCCGCAAAAAAAAAGATAGCCCCACCTCGGCAAAGAGGGGGGCTGGACCGTTGCGGTGTACTGGCATCAAGTGGACCCCATCAGCACCTCTTTGCCGTCCGCTGGTAGATGGCAAAGCTTCTTTGCCGTCTGCCAGCAGACGGCAACGAAATGACAAATGGCAAAGACCTTCTTTGCCGTTTGCCGGTTCTTTGTCGCTGTTTGGTGGCTGATGGCAAAGACCTTCTTTGTCGTCTGCTAGCAGACGGCAAATAACTGGCAGATGGCAAAATCTCTGATTCCAGTAGTGTACGGGCGCATACAACTTTTGGTAGTGACTGTTTTGGCGGGTCATCAAGCTCCAATGGAGTTTTTATGGCAAAATTCTGGCCGTTTTATGGATACAACATTGCAGGACAAAACATGATTACAACTTTCAAGGTAAGCTGATCGCACCAACGAGCCATCTTGCACCATTCGTAATGACCTATAATTTTTAGGGTGCATAAACAGAGTGAGGATGAACTGTTATGTACTTTATGATTCAAGAATAATGCATCTGCTAGTGAAGACGTGAGGGTGGTAGCGGGATGGGTGATAGACCATATAAAGCATGAATTCTTGGGTATTGATGTAACGAAGAGCCTCCTCCTTGTGGCGTGACTGAACCTGTAGTCTTTCTAGTTTGAAATGGAAGGATGGTGCATTGTTCTATATGTTATTGTCCATATATCAGTCTGTAGGTGAGCTCAAGGAAGGGTGGTAGACGGTGGAACAATATACTTCAATCATCAAATCTTCCGGAACTCAATTTTACAAGTCGGATCTTGCCTCCAACATGTTGTCAAAGCCCGCGAGTGAGTTACGGGCGTATACAACTTTTGGTACTGATGTTTTTGACGGGTCATCAAGCTCCAATGGAGTTTCATGGCTTGGGGCTGTTTAATGGATACAACACCGCGGGACAGACCGTGAATACAACTTTCAAGGTAAGCTGATCACACCAACGAGCCATATTGCACCATTTAGAATGACCTATAATATTTCGAGTGCATAAACGGAGTGAGGATGAACTATTAAGTACTTTATGATCCAAGAATAATGCATCCGCTGGTGAAGACGTGAGGGTGGTAGCGGGATGGGTGATAGACCATGTAAAGCATGAATTTTGGGGTCTCGATGCAACGAAGAGCCTCCTCCTTTTGTCATCACTGAACCTGTAGTCTTTCTAGTTTGTAATGGAAGGATAGTGCATTATTCTATATGTTATTGTCCATATATCATCCATAGGTGAGCTCAGAGAAGGGTGGTAGAGTGCTGAAGAGTATACTTCAATCATAAAATCGTACGGAACTGAATTTTACAAGCTAGATCTTCCCTCCGACATGTTGTGGAAGCCCACGAGTGGGTTACGAGCGCATACAACTTTTGGTAGTGATTGTTTTGGCGGGTCATTGAGCTCGAATGGAGTTTTTATTGCAAAATTGTGGACGTTTTACGGATACAACATTGCGGGACAGGCCATGAATACAACTTTCAAGGTAAGTTGATCACACCAACGAGCCATCTTGCATCATGCGAAATGACCTATAATTTTTTGAGTGCATAAATGGAGTGAGGATGCAGTGTTATGTACTTTATGATCCAAGAATAATGCATCCACTTGTGAAGATGTGAGCGTGGTAGCGGGATGGGTGATAGACCATGTAAAGCTTCAATTCTTGCGTCTCGATGCAACGAAGAGCCTCTTCCTTGTGTCGTGACTGAATATGTAGTCTTTCTATTTTGTAATGGAAAGATGGTGCATTGTTCTATATGTTATTGTCCATATATCAGTCCGTGGGTGAGCTCACGGAATGGTGGTAGAGGGTGGAAGAGTATACTTCAATCATCAAATCATCCGGAACTCAATTTTACAAGCCGGATCTTGCCTCCGACATTTTGTCGAAGCCCGCGTGTGGGTTACGGGTGCATACAACTTTTGGTAGTGATTGTTTTCGCGGGTCATCGAGATCCACTGGAGTTTTTATTGCAAAATTCTAGCCGTTTTATGGCTACAACATCGCAGGGCAGACCGTCAATATAACTTTTAAGGTAAGTTGATCGCACCAATGAGCAATCTTGCACCATTCGGGATGACCTATAATTTTTTGAGTGCATAAACGGAGTGAGGATGAACTGTTATGTACTTTATGATCCAACAATAATGCATCCACTGGTGAAGACTTGAGGGTGGTAGCGGGATGGGTGATAGACCATGTAAAGCATGAATTCTTTGGTCTCGATGCAACGAAGAGCCTCCTCCTTGTGGCGTGACTGAACTTGTAGTCTTTCTAGTTTCTAATGGAAGGATGGTGCATGGTTCTATATGTTATTGTCGATATATTAGTCCATAGGTGAGCTCACGGAAGGGTGGTTGAGTGCTGAATAGTATACCGCAATCATAAAATCGTCCGGAACTGAATTTTACAATCCGGATCCTGCCTCCAACATGGTGTGCAAGCCCGTGAGTGGGTTACGGGCACATAAAACTTTTGGTAGTGATTGTTTTGGTGGGTCATCGAGCTCCAATGGAGTTTTTATGGCAAAATTCTGGTTGTTTTATGGATACAACATCGTAGGACAGACCGTGAATACAACTTTCAAGGTAAGTTGATCGCACCAACGAGCCATCTTGCACTAGTCGGAATGACCTATAATTTTTTGAGTGCATAAACAGAGTGAGGATGAGCTGTTATGTACTTTATGATCCAAGAATAATGCATCCGCTGGTGAATACGTGAGGGTCGTAGCGGGATGGGTGATAGCCATGTAAAGCATGAATTCTTGGGTCTCGACGCAACAAAGAGCCTCCTCCTTGTGGCGTGAGTGAACTTGTAGTCTTTCTAGTTTGGAATGGAAGCATGGTGCATTGTTATATATGTTATTGTCCATATATCAGTCCGTAGGTGAGCTCACGGAAGGTTGGTAGAGTGCTGAAGAGGTAGTCCAATCATAAAATCGTCCAGAACTGAATTTTACAAGCCGGATATTGCCTCTAACATGTTATGGAAGCCCATGTGTGGGTTACAGGCGCATACAAATTTTGTTAGTGATTGTTTTGGCGAGTCATCGAGATCCAATGGATTTTTTATGGCAATATTCTAGCCGTTTTATGGATACAACATCGCGGGACAGACCATGAATACAACTTTCAAGGTAAGGTGATCGCACCAATGAGCCATCTTGCACCATTCAGAATGACCTATAATTTTTCGAGTGCGTAAACAGAGTGAGGATGAACTGTTATGTACTTTATGATTCAAGAATAATTCATCCACTTGTGAAGACGTGAGGGTGGTAGCGAGATGGGTGATAAACCATGTAAAGATTGAATTCTTGGGTCTCGATGCAATAAAGAGCCTCTTGCTTGTGTCATGACTGAACCTGTTGGGGATATAACTATTAGGTATGACCTGCCCAGGAGGGACCGGGATATACCTATGGCGGTTCATCAATATGAAGCCCATGAGGATATTCAAGATGGTTGTTCATGGGGCGAAGGCCCAAGAGCGACTTAAGGCCGATAGGGTAAACCGCCATATGTGTATGACTCATATAGCAAGGCAAGTATA